AAAGTTCAAGTTGAAACTTAATCCTCTCAAATGTGCTTTTAGTGTATCAGCTGGAAACTTCTTGGGCTATGTAACCAAAGCCATCATTGAAGCCAAGCCTCCATTAAGTATGAAAGAAGTATAAAAATTCCTTGGACATGTTAATTTTCTTCAAAGATTTATTTCTAACACTGTAGGGAAAACTAAAGTATTTTTGTGTGGATGTAGACACCCCATTTTTGACCGACCTTAAGACTCAGACGTCACCGATTGAGTGCTTGGTGATGTTGCACATCGCGCTCGTTCAGAAGTGAGTGCTTGGTGATGTTGCACATCGCGCTCGTTCAGAAGTTCCAGAGTCGCGGCCGTGAGCCCTGCCTCCGAACTTCCGAACTCTCTTCTTTGTCTTGTCTCGGTTTGCGAACCAGACTCGGTTTTCTCTGTTTCTTTTCCTGAGGGGAGGGAGAGGTCCTGTAGACCATCTCTCAGTGGCCGTAGGCTACATTTTGTGGCCATAGGCCATTTTGCCCATTTCGGAGTTCGGTTCCCGGTTTTCGGGACCATTGGCTGTGTGCCTTGGTTCGGGACCGCTTAACCATCTCCATTTGCTCTGAGTTTTGGCATACATCTTATTTTCTCCCTTTTGAGGGACACTGGGGTCTGAGAAACCCACTTCGTGGTCGAATGCCACTTTCGGTACTTAACAGCCCGTTTTCGGGACCCCGAACTGCGTGTTTTGGCCCCCGGGCATTCGTTTTGCATTGCTTTTCGTTCATTTTTGGCAAGTGCCTCTGTTTCATCACCAGGGAGGTCACTGGAGGGTGGGAGGCCAACAATTATCTTGGCAACCAGTCATATTCCATTTTCGCCCTCCGGCGCCCGTTTTTCGCACTCCCGAGCCAATGTTGAACGGCTTGGAGCCATTTTCTTCAACCCCAAACCACATATTTGTGTTGTACACACATGGGAGGACCCTAAAAGTTCATGGCTGGCCACTAATGTTGCTTGACCCTTTTGAACCCCTCCTTCCGAGCTAATGTTGAACACCTTGGGGCCACTTTCTTGAACTTTGAACCACATATTTGTGATGTACACACATGGGAGGACCCTAAAAGTTGGTGGCCGGCCACTGATGTTACTTGACCCTTTTGAACCCCTCCTTCCGAGCTAATGTTGAACACCTTGGGGCCACTTTCTTGAACTTTGAACCACATATTTGTGATGTACACACATGGGAGGACCCTAAAAGTTGGTGGCCGGCCAGCCTTTTTGACCCCTAGCCGGCCGGCTAGGGGGGGTGGCCGGCCGGCCACTTCCAAGCCCAATAGGTGGCCGGCCATGTTCCTCTCTCCTCCCACTTTACAGCCGTACTGCTGTTTCCCTCAGAAAATATCTATATCCGGGGGATATTTTGTGGTGGAACAAGGAGCTTGATTTCCCCTACACTTGGCTAGACTCTTCTCTCCCTCTCTCTTGGATATTGCTGGCCTCCCAACTCAAGAAAGAAGGGTAGAAGGATTGTTTGGAGCATATACATACATAGCACCCCATTTCCTTCAAGTTTTGGGCCCCATTTCTTCATCATCTTCAACCTCTACCACCACCCCTCCATTCCAGCAGCAAGGGGAAGAATTCCAGCAGCTTAGAGTCACCAAATCTGGTCCAAGAAGCAACAAAAGTGTTGGTCTTCAAAGGTAAGTCCAATTTCCCTCTTTTCTAGCTCTTTTTTGCACCATCTCTAAGCCACACATGCTTGCTGATTTGAGCTCCGACCAAAACTGAAAAGGTCATTTTTTTGAGCTCATTTTCTTGTTTAATTAAGGGCTCAACCCTGTTTGAGGCCCCCATATTGCACTTGCTTCAATATCCACTTGAATGTCAATTTTCTTGCATGCTTTGGCAACCCATTATGCTTCCATTTTTGGGCGTTTTAAAGTTCTGTAAATAGGATTATTTTGAGCCCCTCTTCAACATTTAAGAAGGGCTCATCACTGTTTGGGACCTCCATATGTCACCTCATATTATATCCCTCTTTTGGTCCCCATTTTTGCATGCTTTGGCAGCCTATCATGCTTCTGTTTTTGGTCTTTTTACAGGTCTAGAGATGGCCTTATTTTGACCTTCTTAACATGTTTCATTAAGGGTCTTTGGCCATTTGTGGAATATTTTGCATACTTCATGTTATAGCCTCTTTTGAGCCTCATTTTGCATTGCATTTCTAGCATGTTTGTATATTGTTTTGGAGTTTTTACAGTTCTGCAAATATGCTTATTTTTGGTCCCTCTTCAATGTTGTAGAAGGGAATTTTTTAGTTTGGGCTTTGCATATACCACTTGTTTCATTGCCCTCTCTTGGCCCCTATTTTTGCATGCCATTGTTGCCCTATCCTTGCTTGCTGTTTGGCCATGATTTGAACTGGAAAAATGCTTATTTTGGGGCTGCCTTGCTTCTGTCTTTTCATTCCATGTACCAATTATGCATGCTTTGTATAGCTGTAAGCCATTTTATGTACCTAATGTTGCATTTCGGTTTCATTCCATGCATCGTGTGTGTTTTCGCCTCATTTCGGGGCTGTTTTCCCCCATATTTTACTGCTGAAATTCCATTAGAATGATTGCTATCATTTCCATGTCATTTCATCATATTTTGTCATTGCCTCAGTTTGCGTGCCCGTGTGCACGCATTTCGAGGCACCTCATTTTTATCCGCCGACATCCTATGTGAGTGTGGCTGAGGCTCACTCATGTTGGTATAAGCCCATATCACATTTCCATGTCATTACATCGCATTCCGCCATCGCCTCGGTTTGCGTGCCAGTGTGCACGCATTTCGAGGCACTTCATTTTCATCCATCGACTTCTTATGTGAGTGTAGCTGAGGCTCTCTCATGTTAGTATAAGTCCATGTTGCATTCTATATGCCATCCCATGCCATATTGCATTGCGTATGCCATTGCCTCGGTTTGCGTGCCCGTGTGCACGCATTTCGAGGCACTTCATGTTCATCCATCGGCCTCTTATGTGAGTGTGGCTGAGGCTCTCTCATGTTAGTATAAGTCCATGTTGCATTCTATATGCCATCCCATGCCATATTGCATTGCGTATGCCATTGCCTCGGTTTGCGTGCCCGTGTGCACGCATTTCGAGGCACTTCATGTTCATCCATCGGCCTCTTATGTGAGTGTGGCTGAGGCTCTCTCATGTTAGTATAAGTCCATGTTGCATTCTATATGCCATCCCATGCCATATTGCATTGCGTATGCCATTGCCTCGGTTTGCGTGCCCGTGTGCACGCATTTCGAGGCACTTCATGTTCATCCATCGGCCTCTTATGTGAGTGTGGCTGAGGCTCTCTCATGTTAGTATAAGTCCATGTTGCATTCTATATGCCATCCCATGCCATATTGCATTGCGTATGCCATTGCCTCGGTTTGCGTGCCCGTGTGCACGCATTTCGAGGCACTTCATGTTCATCCATCGGCCTCTTATGTGAGTGTGGCTGAGGCTCTCTCATGTTAGTATAAGTCCATGTTGCATTCTATATGCCATCCCATGCCATATTGCATTGCGTATGCCATTGCCTCGGTTTGCGTGCCCGTGTGCACGCATTTCGAGGCACTTCATGTTCATCCATCGGCCTCTTATGTGAGTGTGGCTGAGGCTCTCTCATGTTAGTGTAAGTCCATGTTGCATTCTATATGCCATTTCCATGCCATTACATACATCCATATTAATATAAAAGTATATGTATAAACATAATTATTTTGTATTGAATCCACCTATCATACTTAAATTTAATATTTAAATACAATTTAAATCTCACTTTTTATTTTATTTTTGTGATTTTAATATTCAAACTCATAATCATTTCACTTTTTTTCCTACAAACATTATATTCAATTACAAAAAAATTCAAACCTTTTTCTAAATACAAATATTTTAACCTATCAAAATAGTGAAAGTAAATGAATAAATTGGAAAAGTTGGGGAAATGGCTTTGGGAGGAGACGGATGGATGTATATAAGCCTTGTAATAATATTTGTTAAATGAAAAAAAAAAAAAAAACTTGTAATGATAGGAACACCAGAGAGAAAATTCTTCACTTGTGATATGATATGTAAGGTTATTGATTCTTTTGGTAATTTTAGGTTCATTTGCTTATTTAATAAACTGGTCAAATCACAATTCACAATATGTCATGAGATTAGTTTGCACAGTTCACCCTAATAATGTCATGAATTTGTTACTCAACGTGGAGCATGGACCCAATAATGTCATGAATTTGTTACTCAACGTGGAGCATGGACCCAATAATGTCATGAATTTGTTACTCAACGTGGAGCATGGACCCAATAATGTCATGAATTTGTTACTCAACGTGGAGCATGGACCCAATAATGTCATGAATTTGTTACTCAACGTGGAGCATGGACCCAATAATGTCATGAATTTGTTACTCAACGTGGAGCATGGACGTGTAAATAATTGTCATATGATACTAAAATCCTTGCAAAGTTGTGTAAAGACCTCTAAAACATACCATTTTTCTCTTTTATTATTATTATTATTATTTTGTTGACAATCATTTATTTCTTTTATTCTTTGAAATGCTTGAATTTGGATTTGAGTTGAATTACAAATTTACAGAAAATCTCCTAAGCTTTTGAGACTTCAAGTTTTACAGTCATCTGCAGCAAGGGGGGCAAAGCCGGTTGGGTAGAGGGGTTTGAATATTGGGGATGGTGGTGGGAAGGTTGGTGGAGTGGTGGTGGGTTTGCAGTTGGCGCATGGTAGGCAGGGGAAGGGGTGGTGGTTATGTGGAGGGTGTGGCGCTAGTGGGCTAGCATTTTTGGTAAACGACAAAGGAAAGTCACCATCACCTGTGCAAAAGGTTCAAGCAACCAAATACAGCAACAATGATGCACATTAAAAGGTAGAATGTGGCTATAAATTGAGAAGGCCATTACCCAGCATCAGTACAATTTGGCAACACGAGATTCAAGCAACCAAACAATAACAACTATGCACATTAAAAAGGAAGAACGTGGCTATAAATTAACAAGGCCATTATCCAGCGTCAGTACAATATGGCTATAAATTGTCATTGATTTTTCTTTTATTTTTCACAAACCAGCATATCATTTGTTCACACATACAAACAAATAACAAGGATCACATCTGCCTTTGTTTCATCTTAAACACAACACACACACACACACACACGCATATTAGATCAAATTCCACAGCTTATGGATAACACTCTCTCCATAGAATAATCAACTGTCAAACTGACACATCAAGAGTAGCATCCATATTAGCGAACTCTTTAATCAAGTTTTTGGATGAAGGCAAGCCACCAGTCACATCCTCTTCAATGCCACATTCATTTGTTCCTCTTTTGATCTTGAAGTATCCATCCTGCCATTTAAAAAGCTAGTTGAGTATTTAATAAGGTCATATTTTAATGTAGCTAATTATGGAAATAAAATAAATGACACGTAGAACATACATCACCCCAGCTTCTATTCCACTGATTTGCAAGAAGCTGCAATACATTTGAAGTATACAATGAGGATACTGTCTTAAATATGGATTTTAAAGATAATAATGAGAATATCGTCTTAAATATTGATAATAATGAGGAACATATCAACCTACCCAATAATCCTCCCCATCCTCAGTAGTTCCCCATCCAATTAGCTTTACAGCATGACCACCCAAGACATCACCTGTCATGTGCTTGTAAACACCTGACTTGTAATGAGCAAAATCCTGATCCAAAAACAAGTATGGCAGTTAAATAAAAGATATACTATAAACAAAACAACAGTCAAGTTCAAGAAGCTCATAAGAAATTACTTTCAATATACAAAGCATTTTGCAGATGAAGTAGAGAAAACCAAAAGGAACAAGATACTTAAGAGAGAGAATTTATCAAAATGTGATATAGAATCATTCTCCGACTAAAGATTCAAGCAGTGTGCATAATTCCACTGAGGGTAATCTTATGTTGTAAGGACTGTGGCATATTTCTTCAGCTTCATGAACTCACATTATGGGTTGGAGGGCCAAACTAAACACAACAGAATCACATCCACACAAGCAGCACTGCATTATAATTTCACCACAGAAGTTCATGAGTTTTTTTACCTCATAGACAGTGAAAGAGACCTCAACTGGTCCATTCTTATAAACTTCTGCCATGATATTGTTGGGATCTGAGTGGATTCTGTATGCACTGACACTGAAATGTTTTGATTGCCTCCAGAGCAGGTTCTTGTTTACGCACTTCCTCTTACACTTTGGTGTAGCATACGCAGGTTCACAACCCGGATGTGAACATCCAGTATTATCAAAATATGGGTCACACTGCCAGAACAACATTTTTTGAGATATTTAAGAATGCATCTCGGCATGTATGCACATTTGTAACTTAGCCAATGAAGCCATTCATGACTACTTTATTACAGAGCATAAATGTTCCTACCTCTTCAGTGACGACACCATGGTGGACAAAGTATCGCCATGCATAAAGAGGATAACCACCATCACAACCATCACCGCACAAAAAGCCACAGCATGCTAAGAGATCATTAACAGATAGAGAAATATTCTGCAATAAAGGAATGGTAAAAAGATATATGTCAAAATATCTTTATAACAAAAAATTGGAGATCTTCAGTTTGCTGTCTGTGAAAGTAAGACCTTACCATGCCAAAATGGATACAAAAACGATCAGATAGTGACTCAACAGCACCAAAAGCCCAACAAGAACCACAATGACCCTAATTTACAGAAAATCAGATCAGATGACAAATCTACAAGGATCATTTTGTGGAAAAGAAAAATGCATAGAAATGGCAATGTGAGTCACCTGATCTTTTAATGCGGAGCATTCCAGTTGTCAACATAGAGAAGAATAAAATATTAGCACCTTCAAAAATAATCATAAATTAACCAAGACCAAGCAAGTAACCAACCAAGAATTTTTCCAATGCTGCTACATTGAGGCCATGCTGTTCTGGCATCAAATTGATCCGGCAACTTCACTGTTTTTGAATGAGTGATAACAGGAACATTCTTCAAATCATGCTGTGGTGTTGGTTTGACTCCAAGAAGGTGCTTAAATTGGCCAACAGTGTAATTAGAGAATCGAGGACTCATATCAGCTTTCCATCCAGCTCTGGGGTTTCCATTTACCAGGTTAATAATTGACTCCTGAAGAATCTTAGAGTTCAATTTTAGATGGGAAATCGGTTCAACTGCGACAGCCTGTAGTTGAGACGTGGAGATGAACCCCAAAAGTAGCAGAATCGCAACGTACAGCTGGGCCGCGGCCATTCCTCCCTCGAATTGACTGTATAAACGGGGAGGCGAGGACCTTGAGTGGATAAAGGCGGTGGCGTCGAGGTTGAAGTTGTGACTTTCCAAGAAGAAAAGGGCTTCTTCTCGAGACGCAGAAGCGATCTCGCAGAATGTGTTGATCAGATCAGCGTGGTTGTTAGGGTTTTCTTCTTCTTCTGCTTGCTTCTCCGATGGGTGATTGTAACCAAACTTCACACCGGAATTGCCGTCTCCCAGATGAACGCAGTGTTCGTGGAAGCTGCTGATAGGTCTTGCCAGGCATGCATCCCAACGGTCACTTTCTGGCATCGTCTCCGCCACTGTGTAGATCCCTTTAGAGTTTGTGAATGCCTGATAATTTAGAACTTCGCCAGATTTTGTTATGCAAAGAACAGCCACCTCAGCACCTTCTAAAGCGTGATCTTGAGGGCCAATAGAAGAGTCCCCACAGACGTCACAAACGACTCTGCCATGGATTTCACCAGTCCAAGCTCGAGCGCCGCCACACATCATGAGGAGGAGGATTGTAGAGAGAGAAAGTGACAGTGTCATTTGGACTGAGACTCCATTGCTGAATTTCAGCATCTTCTTCATCACACTTTTGTGATGAGCTCTCTCTCTCTTTCTCTCTCTCTGTCTCTCTAGAACTCGAACTCGAAAATGGGGAGGTATGTGTAGAAAATAAGCGGACAAGGTTGAGGTCCGGCGGACGGCCAAGGCGAGGTTGCCGCCCGCCGTGAAGCGAAAAATACTCAGTGCTTAACCTTGCTCTGATACCATGTTAAATTTAATGTGAAAGAGAGAAATACAGAGATAATAAATTGTATGTGTTATGATTGATGATAATTATGGTGTGTTTAGCTCTCTCCTTTATAGAGGAGAGGGAGAACAATTACAAACCGAAAGTAGAAGCACAAACTAAACAACATTATTAAAGGTACATTATTAAAGCATACTAATTATTATACTAACCTAATTATTAAAGCAACATTTTACATATTATATTCTAACATTTAGTTCTGCTTGAAATTAGTTTGTTTGAGTGTGAAGAAGTATTGTTTACTGCTGTTATGTTGGGGCAGAAAATGGTTTAACAAATGTATGTTCCCAACATAAAAATGAAAAATGTCAGTTCTTAATTTGTTGCAAGGAGATAAAAGCTGTTACTTCTACCTTGTAATATTTCAATGTCAGTAGTGTTATTGTCATTCACTGGGGGTACGCTTTGTCCAACTAATTGTGCTTGATTTATATAAAGGCGTTTACCTTCTTATCTTATTTTTTTATTTGTTTGTTCATTTGGTCTCTAGAAATAGGATTTATATGTTTCCCCTTTAAGTATGTGCCATTTGCCATTACTTGCTCCCAAGAATTTTTCATGGTCTACTTCATACCTGCTAGATATCTCTGCTTAACATATATTTTATGCTATTGTACAGGTTCGTAAAGGCGTACTACCTCGCTTATTGGAAGAAATATTGTCTACTAGAATTATGGTGAAGCAAGCGATGAAGAAGTTGACCCCTTCACAGCAAGTTCTTCACAGGGTGCGGCCACATTTCAAACCCTACTCAAGTGAATTCTACGTGCATTCTAGACTTGCATCTAATAATCTGAAGTTTAATGCTTATTTTAGATGCTTGACTAAGATGATTTTATTTATCTAACATTAAGAGGTTAATATTATTGGATTTGAATAAGAGATGTAATTCTGTTGAGAATTATAGCAATAATCATAAATGGTTAGGCATCTGCGGGGGGGTGGGGATCATTAGGGATGATATCAAAGATCTGACTTTGATATTCTCTTGATCAGGAGGTAGGGGATATACAATTGAGGATGAGGTTTTTGCTCTTTTCGATGATCTCAGGAGTCTATGCTTTGAACCTGTGTCACTATTTTGCCTGGGGATAGTCTATTTATCCCTAGCAATATACACACAATTGTAAAGGAGATTGTATTTGACCTGACTTTTTGCGTGACAAGACATTGGGCTTCCATTTTTTTTTTTATTTTTTATTATTGATTTATACATTTATTTATTTATTTATTAAAAGATGGGTACCAAGGAGTGTCACTAGTATACAAAAGAAAGAGAAAAACAATTATACGTCAAAAACCTGTTCAAAGGTTTCTACAAATCCAAAAATCGAGTCAAGGATGGGTTAATTAATATTGATTCAAGGATTGCTCTCCAACCTCAAAATTGATTCTTCTTTGCCCTTGAAAGACAAGGGGCGTCCATGTTAGTTTCTGTTTTGGGGAGTAGTTGGTTTTGCTTATCCTTTTGGATTGGATTCAGTGTTGCACTGAGAGCGTCTTTGATTGTTCAGGAAAATAACTTGTTCTTTCTGCTTGCATTTCTTCCTTCTCTTTGTGAATAGATTCTTCTAGTTTCTTATCAAAGAAGAGAAAAGAGTCTTTTCTAGTTTTATGCACTGATCAATATAGTAGCTTTTTCATATTTTTGTTTAATATAGTAGCTTTTTCATATTTTTGTTTTGTTCTTTGTTTTAATTTAGCTGTAGATTCTGAAGGTAGTTTCCAGGTTTATTTATTTATTAATCCTTCACTTATATATTGGTTAGAATTGTTCTTTTGATCTTTGGATTTTATTTCTCAGAAAGTATGAGATTTTCTTCATTACATTTCATTTTTCTTTTATTCCCCAGATATTTAATGCAAGACAGCTTGCGTTGAAGCTAATAGCGAATGTGACATATGGCTATACAGCTGCTGGATTTAGTGGACGCATGCCTTGTGCAGAACTTGCAGATAGTATCGTTCAATGTGGTCGTAGAACACTGGAAAATGCTATATCATTTGTAAATGCACATGATCAGTGGAATGCTAAAGTAATTTATGGTGACACAGATAGGTATGCATTTTTCCTTTACAACTAATCTAAGTAGCACAAACACAGACACGTGACACAACACTGAACATGCCAACACGTCAATTTTAAAAAAATACAGGACACAATACGCTTGGGACACGTAAAAGTTTTCTAAATTTAGAAATTTATTATATGTATATGTATGAATAATTTATTCAAAGACAATAAAAAAATGTAATATAATACATTTTTTTATATTAAAAAGCTTATGTTTCATAAATTAAATATCAATATATCATTTACATAACAACTACATTCTAAAAAATGCAAAATAATTATATAACATTGCATGACACATAATTTATTCATCTTGTAAATGTTTCTAGACATATTTAAGATACATAAGTTGTGTTATGAAGAATGGAGAACATGGTTATAATGAAGAGATTTATTATATGGGACATATTTGGAGTGTTCAAGAAGTGCCGCCAAAGTGTCGTTAAAGTATCTGATGGTATGAATTTGATTTTTTAATCAAGACACATTGAAGAAGCGTGGAAACACTTTTAGGAGTGTCCAAAGAGTGTCGTGTTGGACACGGGTGTTGGACACGACACACTTCCTTTGTAGAAGTGTCCGTGCTTCTTAGCTATTGATCATGAGATTGACATACAATTTAAACAGGCATGTGTGTGATGGTGCATTTTGACAAATGGCTATACTTGGGAAGAGGATAGAGCCACTTGTCAACTATTTACACCTCTATAACTTCCATGATGAATTTTGGTCTGTTCAGAGGTTGCAATGACAGTTTATTTACTGATACTTGACCAAACTGTGGTGAGGATCTGTGGTTATAGAATCACGTGATTAGATCATTTCGCTAGTAGTTCCCACTTCCATTAAAATATTGTGCTAAAGGTTTATGTTTTGGATTTGGCATTTTATCTAACAAGGTGATCTTAAGCTTATATGGTCTGAATTGAAACTTGAACTTATTTCCTCGTGGTACTATTATTTTGATGCTTTTGCATTGTGTTTCACTTTTGAGGGTTTGTGACTTGAACTAGTTTCATACTTTGCAGTATGTTTGTCCTCCTAAAAGAACGCACTGTTAAAGAAGCATTTGAAATTGGGCGTGAGATTGCCTCTGCAGTAACTGCAATGAATCCACATCCGGTCACATTGAAGATGGAGAAGGTCTATCATCCCTGCTTCCTCCTTACCAAGAAGCGGTATGTTGGTTACAGTTATGAAAACCCTGACCAAGTCAAACCTGTGTTTGATGCTAAAGGTATTGAGACAGTCCGCAGAGATACTTGTGGGGCTGTAGCCAAGACTATGGAGCAGTCACTGAGGACATTTTTTGAAGACAAGGGTATTAATAAGGTATAAATGTGTGCCTTTTTTTTCTTTTTTTTTTTCTAAATGTCTATGCAATGCTGTAAAAAGTTGAAAATTATTATGTTAACTTGGAATCATTGATGAATGTTATCGGCTAAGGCAGATAGTGATGGTAGTTTTCTTGTGCAAGTTGGAAGGCTTTTTTGGTTCAGTCTGAGTCACTATATGGTTTTCTGGTGATAGGCTGTGAATGATAGAAACTTGTATTACTTGAAGAAACGATTAAAGAAGGGGAAATCATTATGGTACCTTACCAAAATGTGAAAATGAACTATTGAAGACCATATTTTGGGAGACACAGAATAAAATATAAAATAATAAATTTTGTGTATCCATTCACGTATTGTCTTACTAATAATCCTCTCAATAAGTATGAATTACTCAAAGAAAGCACTAAGAAAGAGTAATTTGAATTTGACTGACTTAAACCATGTACTGAACACATTTTTTCCCAGTAAATGTTTCTTTTCCAACTTAAAGGTTATTAGTCAAACTTGTGTAGTTATGCTCTTGTAAATGCTATACCTTCATCACATGTGGCTTTGAAATTTTGTTTACGTATTCATGCTATCATATATGTTGTGCACAGGTTAAAACGTACTTGCTGCGTCAGTGGGCAAGGATTTTATCTGGCAGGGTTTCTCTTCAGGATTTCGTTTTTGCAAAGGAGGTTCGTTTAGGTACGTACAGTACAAGGTCGTCTTCATCACTCCCACCTGCAGCAATCGTGGCAACTAAAGCAATGAGAGCCGACCCTAGGGCAGAACCACGGTATGCAGAACGAATACCTTATGTTGTAGTCCATGGTGAACCTGGGTCACGTCTGGTCGATATGGTGGTGGACCCCCTTGATCTTTTGGCGACTGATTCGCAGTTTAGATTAAATGATACATATTACATTACAAAACAAATAATACCAGCTTTGCAGCGCGTGTTTGGACTTGTTGGAGCGGACTTGAGCCAGTGGTTTTCAGACATGCCTCGACCTGGACAGGACTTTATTGCTAAACGCCACTCTTATGCACTGAATTCACATCGAACTAGAATTGATTATTACTATCTCTCGACGCATTGTTTCTTGTGTGGTGAGTTAGTCCAGGATTCAGCCCACTTCTGTGGCAAATGTTCGAAGAATGAAGCTGCTATTGCAACAGCTATCGTTGGAAGAACTTCAAAATCAGAAAAAGAGATCCAACACCTTGCTGCTGTGAGTATTTTGTTTGGTTTAATTTTTTAAAACCATGTTTGAGTTTCTTGTTTTTTTTTTTTTTTTTTTTTTTTTTTTTGTCTTTTGTGAATTTTTTTCATAGTTTAATCAAATTTTATGTTATTTTATACAAGTACCCAATCTAGATACACTTTCAAAGTCGAATATCTGTGAAGAATTTTTTTTAAAAAATTCACTAAGGGGTTGTTTGGGATGTCCTAAATAAGTGCAATTTTTGTCTTTTGGACTAAAAAGTTGAGGAAAAAAATATGGATGTTTAGGTTAACTTTTTGACTTTTTATGAAAAAATGTGTATTAAAAAATTGTATAAAGAAGTGTGTAGGAGAAGATTAGAAATGACAAGTCAACAGCCGTACAATTTGTGGAGAGGAATTGATGGTAAGAAATTATTGGCTAATTTTCGGGCATTGAACTAAACGGTTTTGTTCGGCCCGTGGGGGCCATCACAGGTCACATTTTGATAATTTGAACCGTTAATGCGTAGAACTCATCGAGTACTATATGGTTATAAAAAATCACGTTGATCGGATATCGATAGCTATCTGATCATATGTGTTTTTTTTCAATCGTTAATTATAACACCGTCTATTTTTTTATACAAAACTGATTTGATCATATAGTTATCGATATCCGATCAATGTGATTTTTTACTGACATATAGTACTCGACGAGTTCTACACATTGACAGTTTAGATTATCAAAATGGGACCCGTGATGAGCCCCCATGGGCCGAACAGCAGTGTGTGAAAATTACACCAAACCGTGCAATTTTTCCTTTCAAACACAGCACAAGCTTCACAGGTGAAGATAATGAGTTGTACGGCTGTGTGAATTGATGTGTGAAAAATTATTTTTTTAATTTTTTTTTGGATGAATAGTGATAACTTTTTGAGAACTTTTTGACTTTTTGTCTTTTTTTAGTAGATCCCAAACCAGCCCTAAATACCAAAAATAAATAAATAAATAAATAAAAATTGAAACTGTACTATCTTTTTTTGCATTTAGTGAATTTGTTTAAGATATCTTCACAAATATTTTACTTTTTTAAGTGCATCTAGAAAGGTCCAAAAAAAAAAAATTTACTAAAATGTGAAAAAAAGTTCACTAGAGACAAATAAACACAAGTAACAAAAAGCTCAAAAAAAGTTTTTGATTTTCTACAGTTCTTCGTGCACCATGCCTACTTGCATAAGCTATGATCCAGTGTATGCTTTTGTTTCAGGGTTTAATTTCCTGTGCTTTTGACCTGCATCTGCACATATATAGATGCTTTTCTGACTCCTGAAATTATAAATTTTGAAGAAATCTTAAAACACAGCATTTCATTAGGGACGGTTATTAGTTTGGTGTGTTAAAATCAGTTAATGGATGGTGTGCTAAATTCAAAATTTATTCACGGAACTTCTGAATTTGGTCAAAAACTTCCACGATGATCACCTCCTAGGATGAATTCTCTGCCTTTCATAATTCTTGAATTGTCATTATTGATTTTCATTTCCAACTAACATCTCTCTCTACATGCTTGTGCTGGATTTCTTAATGTTTATATTTCCGAATAGTTGATAGTTAAGGGGTGTTAATTATTCTCTTGCAGATTTGTCGGCATTGTGGAGGTGGGGACTGGCTTTTGGAAAGTGGTGTGAAGTGCACATCACTGGCTTGCTCGGTTTTCTATGAGAGGAGGAAAGTTCAGAAAGAACTACACGCTCTTTCTACTGTTGCAACAGACGCAGGTTTATATCCAAGATGCATGGTTGAGTGGTTTTGAGTTATTATCTGAGATATCAGAACATGAATTAAAAAACAGGTCTCTCTTTACTGCAATCTTCTGGACGCCTTAATATGGTACATTTGTATATTATCTACGTTTTTGGGTATATATTTGTTGTATTACTTGTAAGTAGAGGACAGTTTAGATTTGGAGATTGTAAGTTTCAATCATAGGTCTATTGTAGCTGTAGAATCAATCTCCACTTGATTATCCTTTCTCACTGCAAGGTTGTATATACGTAATTACTGAAAATTCAGAATTAAAATGGACGTTACAAACTATTAGTATGTGTGTGCGCGCCCGCGTGTAACCATAAATGATGTATTTGGCTCTCCAAGTGCTTTCTTTGGGCACATTGCTGTGGTGAGAGTCTTGAAGGGTGAATTTTACCCAAAGAGTTTCCATAAATTGGTATGAGATTTAGCCACCTTCCTGACTATGACATTGCAAATGAGATCAGATGGGTGACCTTGCAATTTGAGCGGTGGAGAGAACAACTTATAGGTTGGATTAAAATATTGCTAAGGTGTCCAACATTGATAAGTGAATGAAGTTGCCAATAGGGAAAGGATAATCAAACGAGGAAAATTATGGTTTTTTTTAAACCCTTTATTAAATGTGATTTAGATGCGCACCAAGTTTTGTAAAGAAACTCTAAACAGTTTTAGAGATAAAGATCATATGTGAAAATTATGAAAAAATTTGCCAAAAGCAAAGGTCTAAACTCAAATTTCATTTATGAATTTGTACATATTGATTTCTTTCAATAATAAAAATTTATTTTGTATGATTTTATAATTTTTTATAGTTGAAGATGTCAATATGTTAGTATTTATAAACAATAATGTTTGGTTACTCGAATTTTCATGACTCGAATGTCTCAAAAAGACGTCGTTTTGATACATTCGAACCATTCAGACCACACAAATTTCAAACATTTTTCATTTGTAAATGAGCAGGTAAGAGAATATATTTTTTTTTTTTTAAGTTGAACATTGTAATTTACGCTTCAAAAAATCATGATTTTTTTTGAAAACATTTATTTACAAATAATTTAAGGTCTCGTTTGGAAACATGTTAATTTAGTAACTTTTTGGCTATTTGGCTAAAATATGAGTTAAAAAAAACTAATATGTTTGAGATGACTTTTTGACTTTTTACGAAAAGATATGCAAAAAGTAGAGAGAAAATAGAATCTTTGATTTTTTGGTATGAGTTGTTGGCTTTTTAGTTTTTTTAGTGACTTTTTAGCTTTTTGACTAAACGGGTCGCTTCCCAAACGAGGCCTAAATGTCTACAAAATTTTTTGAGGAACCCAAATCATTTAAGTAAAAATTGCAAAAAGAAAATCGTGCAAAAATTTGCAAAAACATGGGTCCGATTTCATTTTTTATATTTGATTGTCTAATTTAACATTTAAAATTGAATGTATTTTGAATGCAGTAAGTAAAAATTCATTAAGCTCGTTTGATAATTATAATTAGTATCACTTAAATGACTCTTAAATTGCAGATTAAAAATTATAAAATTTTTAAGTGATAGGAAATCTATTTCGCTCTAATTGAATTTGTAAATATTTATACATATGTGCCGATATATATAGTTATAACCTCATTACTACCACTCTTACCATCACCACTATCACCGCCGCCATTACTTGTACTATTGTCACCATGACTATGCCACTGTGTTAGGGAATTTTCAAAATGGGTTTTCAAAAATTTATTAGTTTTTGGGTGTTTTCAAAACATTCCATGTTTTTTTTTTTTTGGAAAACATGAAATAAGTTTGGGGACATTCTCTCACATCAAAAAGAGAAGAAAACATGGAATACTTAATAAAGTGCTACATGGAATGTTCCTTTGAATTTGGTATTATGGGATGGATACTAGTGTGTATACACTTACACCACAAGGATGGTGCACCATTCGCACATGCATACGAGCGCGCGCGTCGCGTGGGCAGTGGGCTATGTAGTGTTTGGTGGCGCACTTTGCACGGACGCAAGGCGCCATAAGGGCGCTTTCCTATTTGCATTAGACAGGTTGGAGCGGTGACATAGAATACAATCAGCTCCACGTAGCAGTGATGTGGCGTCCATTGGCAATAAGTCAACCAACCGATCAAACGGTTGCATGTCCGATCTGGAGCAATTTGATCATAACCGTTGATTGGAAGATGCGCGCGATCGTGTAGATGAGATGATACCCGATCATGATCAGTCAATGCATTTGTTCAGTGTGGGAAATGATCTGCACCATAGATCGTCGATCCAACGGTCAGATCTAATCGGATGCGATGAAGGGACATGACCATTCGATCAGCTGCATCAATGCCTATAAATAGGCTGCGAAATCATCCATTTCAATCTATCCAAATTTCAGAAAGTATTCTTGCAATTCTCTCTCTCTCTCTCTCTCACACACACACAATTTTCGATCAAGAGTTTCTTAAATAAGTTTCTGCTTTTTTTTACTGGTAATCAAATTTTGCAGACTTGATTATTAGTGTCTTGGTTTTCTTGATTATATTAAGAGTATTTTGATCTACTATCGTCAATGTAGACTCCGGTAGACTCGATCTTTAGATTAGGCTTTATTGTATCCTGGAGGCGAATTTGCTGTAACCCCATGTACACCTTTTGGTGGATGCAAATATTGTCTTTAGGAACGCGACTTAATAACGTGACTTGAAGCATCAAATTTCTGTTCTATATAGACAAGATCATCGCCAAGTTTCGAAGACCCAAAAACCACCAACTGAAGAATTCAAGACGAATTGTTCCAACAATCTAAAGACAATATTTGGATATAGTGATGTCTATTCAGAAAATGACTCAAGATTTCATGAAGCTTAACCAATTTGATGGAGGAAATTTCCGATGCTGGCAAAAGAAAATGTACTTTTTGCTCACCGCTATCAAAATGGTCTATGTGCTGACTACCCCTTATCTAGTGAAACAAGAAGACAAGACTATGGAACAAGCTTGTACCAAAAACAAATGGGAGAATGACAACTACATTTGCCGAGGACACATTCTGAATGCATTGTTAAACTCTCTGTTCGATGTGTATTAACATCTGGAAACGACAAAGCAACTCTGGGACAAATTACAATCAAAGTACCTCACTGAGGACACTACCAGTAAGAAATTTCTTGTTAGTAATTTTATGCGTTTTACTATGATTGATACAAAACCCATTATGGAACAATTCCATGAGATCCAATTATGAGTCAGTTTCAACAAAAGAATATGAACATGGATGAATCTATTGTAGTTTAATCTATAATAGAGAAACTGCCATCTTAAGAAAACTATAAAACACAAAAATTAAGATCTAACTTTCGAGGAATTGGCTTAACACCTCCAAGTTGAGGAAGAGTCAAGACTTCTTGAAAGTAAAGAAATCCAATTGGCTCAGACTTCCAAGATTCACATGGTGGATGATGGCAAGAGGTTCAACAAAAAGAAGTATAAGCGCGACCCCTAACCTGAAAAGATGCTAAGAAGTCGAAAGGCACTTGTTGGCACTGTAGTAAGCTAGGGCACTTCAGAAATGAATGCCGGTCATACAAGAATAAGCCAGAAGCATCAAATGCCAAGAACAAATTTGTGGTTGTTTTATCCGAAGTGAACATGCTTGAAGATGTTGGTGACTGGTGTAGACACCCTATTTTCACCAGCCCTAAGACTTAGGCGCTTTCTGTTGATTACCTGATGATGACAATCAGAATGTGTTCCCAAGCAGTCCTCAACAAGAAAAATGGAATTTGAGCTTTAATCCCAATCTTCACACATTTTTGGCCAAACTATTTTAGACCTTAAAACCCTTTTTTCAAAATATTTTTTCAAATGTTTCTACGATGTTCCAAGGCTCCCATTTCAATTAAAATATTGCACTTTTCAGTAAACCGAGTAAGGATAAAGTAGAAATAAATGGAAAGGAGGTGAACTCTTTAAAATATATATATATATATATTAAAACATCTTATTTATAGGTTTGGATAGGTGTGGATTTGAAGGAAACAGGAGGGGATGGAAGAAAACTAGTTTAGGGAAAGGATGAGCATCAAATTGTTAAGAAGGAAATGAACAGCCTTCACTAAATTAGGCATGTCTCTTTGTATACTTGAATTTTAAATGTGAGGCTACCACCATTGGAAAGTAGACTTATGGAGATTTAATTTAGACCCAAGAAGCACCTAAAACCAAGTCCGAATAATGGAAATATGCCCATTTGACGTTGGGTTTCAGAGTAGATTTTGTTGACCTGGCTCAAGGAAAATGAATAGCCTTCACCAAATTAGGCATATCTCCTTGTACACTTAGATTCTAAATGTGAGGCCATCACCATTGGAAAGTAGACTTATGGGGCTTCAATTTAGACCCAAGAACCACCTAAAACCAAGTCCAGATAAGGGAGTTATGCCCATTTGAAGTTGGGTTTAAGAGCATATTTTATTGACCTGGCTCGAGGGAAATGAAGAGCTTTCATTAAGTTAGGCATATCTCTTTGTACAGTTGGATTTTAAATGTGAGGCCACCACCATTGGAAAGTAGACTTCTGGGTATTCAATTTAGACCCAAGAACCACCTAAAACCAAGTCCGGATAAGGAAGATATGCCCATTTGAAATTGGGCTTAGATTTTGTTGACCTAGCCCGAGGGAAATGAACAGCCTTCACTAAATTAGGCATATCTCTTTATATACTTGGAATTTAAATGTAAGGCCACCACCATTGGAAAATTAGACTTCTAGAGCTTCAATTTAAACCTAAGAATCACCTAAAACCAAGTCTGAATAAAGGAGATATGCTTGTTTGAAGTTAGGCTTAGTAGCAGATTTTGTTGACTTAGCCCAAAACAGTAGCAGCCCTGTTTTTCTTAGTTTTGGTTCGGTTGGGACACCCCATTTACCTATTTTATTATCCATTCAAGTGCACCCACTCATCCTCCATTATACCTAATCATCTCCCATTGTCAAAAAAAGGTTTTGTTGGCATCCATAAAGGAGCATCCCATGCAACCACCTTGAAAATTTGCCCTCCTATCACATTCTTATCTCCCACTTTGTCTCCCACCTTCTTTTTGACCTTTACTCTCCCTCATTGCCTATATAGAATAATCATATTGTAAGAGAGAGAGAGAGAGGACCACGAAATTGAAGAGAAAATGGTGAAAAAAGAGAGAAAAATTAAGTTTTTGAGCCAAAAATATTCCTATCTTCCATACATATCCCATACCTTCCATACAAACTGAAATTCCATCTTTCCTACACCC